CCTGATTTTATCTTTATCTCTCTCTATATATAACTATGCAATGATATATCTATATTAATTTATATCTACCTACTTGTTTGTCTATCTAAATATCTGACTACACACACACACACAACACTAACCGACCCAAGTGTGCTCTCGGCAACCATAACGCCAGTCGTTTTTTAGGCTGCCTTGCCTATGGTATCATCCTCGGGAGGAATGTCTAAGAAATGATAAGTCTCGCAGGCGGCAACGACCCCGGAGAGAACCGGGAGTGGGGGGGGGAGTAAAAACGGAGGCGAGATCAGAAAAAAGACTGTAACCTACCTTGCCATCCTTTTGCCAGGAACAGCTCCCTTGTTTGTTGTAGATCTTGCAGGCGAGAACCACGTTTCCCCCAGGGTTCACCTCCGTCCTGGTGGGTTCCTGGTTCCAAGTCTGCACAGCGCCGCAACCTGGAGGGGAAGGAGGCGAGTCGCGTTAGAGGTGGTCACTCGTTTCTGTGTTTTGGGAACGAGCAAGTCGAAAGGTATGGAAATACTATGGAAATGTAGATAAGCGTGTGGTATGGGTGTCAAGGGACAGTGGTGCGTAAGATTCATTCATTCACGTGGAGTAAACAAAGAAACACCCCCCCCCCTTATAAATACCCATATACATGTATATATATATATATATATATATATATATATATATATATATATATATATATATATATATATACATATGTATACACACACACATACATACATACATATATACATATATACATACATACATACATACATACACACATGCACACGCACACACACACACACACACACACACACACACACACACACACACACACACACACACACACACACACACACGTACACGCACACGCACACACACACACATTATACATATGTATGTATATATATATATATATATATATATATATATATATATATATATATATATATATATATATACATACATACATATATACACTGCACTCACAGACATATCCAAAAAGTCCATATACAAAAACCGAACATCTTCACTTCCTCGGAATTGGTGCGAAAGTGCGCATCCTTTTACGCGTTACAATACTCCCGAGAAACTTATAATGTCTCGCTCCCTGATCCCATGTATTGGTTCGCCGCGGCTCGATCTCGCGATTATATTATGGATAAATTTGGCAGAGGAAGCAGGAAAACGTTGGTCGCATTTTCCAGCACAGCCTGGGAGCGCCTCTGAAGCGGTCAGGATTCTGGGCGAATTTGATATCTGTGTCTGACGGCGACACTAAAGAGCTTCATCTCAGTAATTACAAATGAATGCAATCAATAGAGCTCGTAAATCAGCTTGCATGGATGCTTGATTTTACTGGACATTACTCCGCCATGGTAATTTTAGTCTTTTGATGAACATTTACAATGCTATGTATGATGAATACACTCGTCCACGTCAATGGTCAAACGAGGGTTTACATACAGTAGATTGCAAACCGTCCGGCGGCTCAAAACCGACAGCTAATGTGCAAATATGACTAATTCGATATCCTTTGTGGCGATTACTTCGGAAATAGATGCCATTGCAAAGTCCTATTTCCGTCAACAATAGCGCCCCAATACAACAGCGACTGCGATCTCATCATGGAAGGAAATTGGACATAAAGTTATACATAAGTTATCGGGGAATTTGAAGTTGAAGCGCGATCACCAAGTCTTAGAGCGAGTAATTCTGAAATCTCTGGTGATGATAAATTTCAATAATGCATGAATATATATATGAAGCGACTGAGACAGCCAAATCGGCTCGGGCAGACGAGCGGAGAAGATATTCGAGAGAGACGGGAGATAAAGTTAGCGGCGCTTGAGTGTGACGGGAAGGGACCCTGAATATAAAGGTGGAGGTGAGCCATCAGGGACAGAGCATCGCTCCGGCGGACTCAAAACCCCGACTGCAGCTGAAGAGAGAGTGAAATTCAGATGGTCAGGCGACGGGAACGGCGAGGGTGAGACGGAAAACTTGGCAAAGGAAAGGGCGTCCGCGAGGCGAGGTGGACGGAAGAACCGGGAGAAAATATAAGGTAATCCGGCAATGAAAGGAAAACGACAGACGCCCGTGATAGAGGACGGAGTCGGAGGGGGCGGATGGAAAAGAGGTATCGGAGGAGGAAAAGAGCAGATAAAAGAGAAAAGACAAAAAGTAGTGGAGCTGAAGGTGGCAATGGATGAGGACAGAGCGTTCCATAAACCACACAACCCTCGGGGAAAATATTCAAAACAGATCAGGATATCTATTTCTTTGTTTTCTTTCTCCTGACCTAACATACACACACAATGGCACATAAATACATCACACACGCACACAAAGAACACATAAAAACGCATGCAACACACCCATACACGTACAGATCACCTCAGCGCCCCGACCAGCCCTCCCCGCGGCAGCGCTCCTTCGCGTCGCAACAGACAGCGAGGCTCCCAGTGTCCCCGGCGCTCGAATTAAAAGCAATCTCCCCAAAGCT